GGTTTAGACACCAAAACAGGAGTTTTAACTTGAGCATATTTTGCTTGGGAATTGATCTGTAAAATATAAAAAAGAGTAAGACAGTGTTATGTTCCGGGGAATGTTCTTATTACTGGCAAAAGATGATCGAAATAAACTTATAGGTATTCCTTTATCTATGTTATTCCTGTTTGGGTAGGCTCCAATACCGTTCCAGAGCTTTGGCTCATTTCCCGAACAGCGGTTGCTAATGGAGTCACGTGTTTAGAATTCTTATTATACATGTTTTTAACAAGTTGTGGACGGAATACGAATGCCCGATATCGATTGGGTTCGATTGATTTGAAACGCGAAATATAAAGATTGTTAAATTTGAATGTGATTCGAGAAAAAGGTAGTCACCGTCGGCGAAGCGTTAAAAAAAAATCGGCACCCAAACTAGACAGCTGCAAAAATAAAAAAAAAGGGCTAAATTTTTGATCGAGTTGGTTTGAATTTTCGTTCCAAGTCCCTTGCTAATAAACAACATGGCTCAATTCCTTTGGTGTTTTCTGCAGATGTTGATTGATAATGTTTCGTGTCATTACAGGTGCTCCATTCTAGCGTGCAGTTCTTATGTCGCGCTGGGACTGGGTGACAATGTGATGGCCTTAGTTCATGCGCAGAAACTTCTCTCACAATCCAATCTTGTAGGAGCACTCAAGTAAGTGGAAATGTAACATAGTTATTATGATAACCATCACAGGAAGATTTTCTTTCCTTTTACCTAGATCTTCATTAATTAAAGATGCTATTTGTTTGATTGTCTTCTCCCTTATTAAAGGTTTCTCGGCCATTTGTACGCTGCCGAAGCTCTGATCAAACTGAATCGTTTACCGGAAGCTATAATGCATTTGTCACCTGATAATATCAACAACATTAACATCATTCCGGCCAGTACTACTGCGGAAGGTATTTTGCCTCATCACTTGATATACAAAGTTTGGTTGTACTTTGGAGGAGTTTCGGGATCAATGTGAGTGTATTAGCAACTGCGGATCTATCCCCCCCCCTCCTTACCCAAAATTAACCTTAACTTGTTATCAGTTGACTATTGTTGGGTTAGGGGAGGGGTACGTGTGCAGTTGCTTAGGTACTGACATTGATCCGAGTTTTCAATATTTTTTCCATGGTATTCAGTTTCATTTTGCTGAAATTTGTGTTGTTTGCCATGTTTTTCGGCCGTCATATTTCCATTTTCTTTCGCAGTTGGATCAGGGGAGAATGTTGATAAGGAAAAGGAAACGACCAAGCCTCGCGGTAAGAAAAATCCCTTTCCATAAATACCCGCGATTACTACTATCAGTTATCGGCCTGACCCCGGATGTTCGAGGGGTGGATGACGTTCTCCATTAGATAAATCTCTATCTAACAGATAGCGCAGCACGTTTTTGGCAGTAACTGGACAGCCATTTCTGCGTTAGATAGTGTTACTCGCCCTTTGAACAACCAGGCCCTAATATCTTGTCACTGATGGTTAATAGGGGGATGAAGCAATAGGGAATATTGTGTCTTCTTCAGTAAGTCATATATGGCAGTTAGCCCCAACTGTTAAGTTCACTGAGATGCAAGTCTATTTGCTGGTTACCACTCAGTGAATGGTTTAGTTTCCTTGTCATTCCAGTAGTACCCATATAAATTTTTGGTTGGATGAAGGTACTTTGAGAGTGAGATCGTGGAGTGAAAGCGGGCTAAACGAGGATACTATTAGCTAGGATATTTTAGCTCGCGCGCGCTCGCTTAGTTTGTTCAAACTCCTTTGGCGTCATTTTTTCATTTTAGGCCTTCAAATAATTTAACCTTTCCTCGTCTGTTTATTCAACAGCCTGTGAGAAGATGACTTTTCCAGAGACTTTAAATGAAGCCCGTTCCTCGTTCCTTGTTAATCTAGCCGGGGTGTACAGTTTACGGAGCGAGTTTGATAAGGCACGGAAGTGCTTACAACAGGTAATTCATACAAACTATAAAACAAAGTTTTACCAAGAGTTCCCTTAACAAAAGGTAGCCAAGCATTAAAGATGAATACACTCAATGGCGTCGAGTGCAACTAGTTAGTTTCACATGCAAGTCTGTGCCAAAAAGATGAAGCATTATAGCCTTTCAGTAAGTCATATATGGCAGTCAGCCTCAACTGTTTAAGCTCATGGAAATGCTTAGTATTGTATACGAAACGATAAACCTAAAAAGGGAATAACTTGGTCTTCGTGAGCTGTAATGTCTAGATACGTCGTATTCATTGTGCCTTGAGTGTAAGTAGAACCTGGGAGAGAAGAGAAAAAGACGCAAATCCTTGTGAGTTTATCAAGCTGGTTGTGTGTCCAGTTATGTGGTTGTGGACAGGGAGGTCTACACCTTATCTTCCTCTCTCCAGCCCCCTCCCTCCCTCTCACCTTGTCCCTTAGTTTCCCCCGTCCCGCCTCTCCTCAGGCAAAAACGTAAGTTCATCTTAAACCTTAGGCAAAGTGGTTGATTTTTTGTCCTTTCATTGTTATTTTGTTGAAAATCTCGAGGATCACCACAGCTTTGTTTCTTCTGTAGGCCTGTTCTCTCGGTTATTCTAAAGACTTCTCTGCACGCGTTGTTTTACTGGCCGTGTACATAGAGCTTCAAAGCGGTGAGTGTGTGTTTTCTTTACTTTCTATTGTCAATATTTTCAAGCCGACCGCAGCGCTCTTTCAGATACGCTTGCATCCTTATCAGGATGCACAACACATCGGGAAGTCGCAAAAAAATAATAAAATTTTAAAGCCTTTACATCTGGCTTACGCTTCTGTTAAATTAAAGTAATATACTGATGCAGGTAAGTCAGTAAGAGCTGCGCTAACTTGCGATCTTCGTATGGCTAATTAACTGATGAGAATCGTTATTGCGTCGATAAAATTAGAGCTCTTGAGAGAAATGACGAAACCGTTCAAATTGATTGTAGTAACTGTGATCGGCTGTCACTTCTTGAGTTTCAAAGAGCAGCCCCAGACTCCTCGGAATACCTCAAAGAGCGCGCGGCTGAATGACACCGTTTTGTTCTCTCTATAGGGAACACCGCTGGTGCACTGCAAACGATTAAAAAGCATCAGGTACTTCCGTTTAGCAAAGGGTTCAAGGCAGTGAAGAAGACACGTGGAGCTGACGTGTGGAAAACATAAAGGATCTAACACTGTTGCTGGTGGATGCGAAATCTTATGTGAGGATCTTAATCAGTTAACCCCAGTGGTTACCTTTAGTTTGCTCTTGAACAGTCAAATAATAAGAATAAATAGAATTTCATCGAACGAGCGGGTGTTGTTTACCCTCGAAGCTGCCTTTCCTCGATTTTGTTCGTAACAGTCAAGGTTTATGTTAATCTAGATCCTGTACTATTTCGCAATTAGTTACAAGAATAAAGCTCAAACGAAAGTAGATATCAGCGTCTGCTACTGAGAGATTATCATGTTGAAGACCCATGAGCGAATCGAATATAGTTGAATGCTGGAAAGAGAGTCAACTATGTCCCGCTTAGTGTCCAAGACACGAGCGGTAAATTGTTGTTATGCTGTATATTGGCATTGTGGTGATTATTTTTTTTCCGTATTTTATTTTCTTAAGCTCAACAAAGTAATAAGAACTGTTGGAGAGGATTTTATCCTCTGATGTAATGGTAACACAGTTAATGTTCTTGGGCTAAAATTACTCTGGACTGGGCCCCAAACATATTTTTGTTGTTTTGTTCTTAAAAAGTGTTGCGTGTCAAATCCATGGGACCTTCGTCTTTTGCCCCACGACTCCAGGAAGAGGGGCAATTCTCCCAGCCGCTGCATGTAGTGGGGACTTGAGTTGACCCCAGCGCTTTGTGTAGCTCTTGGCTCGAACTTAAACTTGACCTTACCTCATAAGTGCGTTGTTTGTAACCAGTTTTATTTGTATATACCCCATAGTTCTTTTCGTGCACGCTGATTGGCGATTTCAGAAGTGTGTATAATTCACCACTGAGTAGCCGAAGAGACAAACTCGCCCGTCAAGAGTTAGATTTCCGAGCATTTTTCGGTGCATTTACAGAAATAAACTAATATTTTGGTTTCAGTGTGGCACATACTAAAACATTATTTCATTCACCTCAGTGTCAGTGAAAATGTTTCTTCCACTACGGTGAATAATGGTTAACCATTCTGTATCCTCAGTCATCCTGGTTCCTTTACGGATTGTCCTCAAGTTCTGTTGCCTTTTATACCTTAAGGAGACATTAATTTTAAAGGGTTTAGAATAGTTATTCTGTAAGTCGCAACAAACCACTTAAAACATCCTCCCTCGTATAGAGGATCATATCACGGTCATGAGTGTAACGAGACACGGTGTGTTTTAATCATGTCAAATGATTAACCAATTGGCTCTCAGTAACCTAACACGTTTTCTCGCAACTGAATCAAGTGAACTGTGTTCGGGTTCATGAAGACTGGGTCTAGTACAGGCGATGCCTCATTGTTAAGCCTCTGGCCTAAAAGCGCGAGCGAAGAATTCTTGCCTTTGAACTGCGGTTAGTACACAGGACTATTTAGCAACTATAAGATCCTTGACAACTATCTAATTTGCCTTTCTGTATTTACTCTCTTTTCTCATAGGTTTGGTAATAGATGACCTCATTGTACGTGCTTTTATTTCGCAACATAAGTAAATCGAAGCGTAATTAATAGTCTCCTGTCATTTATAAAGCAAATAAGGACGTTATTGTATTGATAACAAAATTCAACAAGCAACGAAATTCACGGGCCTTGGAGATTATCAAAACGTTTTCCTCGGAAACATTTAGAATCACGAGGTCGTCATGTCAGTGAGAAATCTCACAGTATGAGATGAAAAATGGCAAGATAATGGTCGAAGCCAACCGTTAGACGGTTTTGCGTGTTTCAAAGAAAGGTGCTTCTACTCATTATTAAAATCACCCCGTGCGAAGTGATATTAGCAAGATATGACGTTCCGTCAGCCAATCAGATCGCACGCTTCTGTTTAATCACCTCAGCAATTTTAGGATAAGTTAAAGGCAGGAGGGTGCTAAAATGGAAAGCAGATGCTTCGAGTCTCCACGAGATTGCTAAGGTTCTAGACGACCAAACAGAAAACCTTTTCACATTTGAAGAAACCACAGGTATTTTTGTCTACGTTTCCCTCGTTATGTCAGAAAAGGTCGAGTGCAATGTTTATGTGTGTGTTTTACCTTCGTATGATTGATAAGTTGCAGATGCTATAAAGAACTGCAAATATCTTCGTGTTACAAATCTGAACTCTGCATTAATACACCAAAGTTGTTAAATGTTGTTTAAGTGGCGAATTCATTTCTCCAGATTCTTACTTCGCGCCAAAAGCTGCTTACAGTAAGTGTTTTGAACCATTGCTGCGAATGAAATAACGAAGCGAAGGTTCTTCTTTTAAATAAGGCTTTTATATTTATTGTAATTTTCCAACGATCGATTGACAGTTGGAATTATTTCCCTCAGCGATGATCTCATTTCTTATATGTATTAATTCAAAATTTGCATCTGTGTGTTCAGTATAAATATCGATCACGAATAAATCGACCGAAGCAAGAGTTATGCTGGTAAAATAAGTCGTTTATTTCTATGGAAATTTGCCTGTAAGTGTGTGTTAAGAACAAATATCACGAATATATTGGCGAAGCTAAGGCGTTTTCCTCGCAAATAAGTCATTTATTTTTATGGCGTATTCCTACTTGATTAGTTCAAAAGACATCTGAAATCATTTGCCACTGAGATAAATCGTAACTCTAATTACTGGCGTTTGATTTTAAGCTTTCATGGAAGGGCATATTGTCTCATGCAAAAGCTTCAAGCACATGCTGTATTTGCCATGACAAATTTTAATTATCAAACTGAGCAGAACAAAGGCTCGGCCTAAAAAGCTGATAAATATTGTTTGCGAGAGTAAACCATCGATTTGAACACCTGCTGAGTAGACCTGTTATGACTAAATTTCTATTTCTTTCTTTTGCAAATGATTTTTTTCTCTACTTTTGCTCAAAGAGTAAGTGGAAAGCGGTTTAATTATCGCCAGTCGATATCACTTTTAAGTCTTACATGTGTTGCAACAGTGTCATCTTACAAAGTGAATTCGTGCTTGATAAGTTCGCCTATTAAAGATCTTTAAATGACGGGGGACATTTTTGTTCCGGTTAACAATCAAATTAGCAGAAACAGTGCGTTTAACAAGGATTAGGTGCTTATTTTCAGTTCATTTTTTGCCTGTAATTAGGCGCGATTTTGTCTCTTCGGCTGCGCGGAGGTGTATGATACTTGCGAATCACTTCCGAAAGAGCCAATCAGCGTTTGAAAAGCTTTATTTACCTGTGTGGTATTTAGAAAAAAGACTGTTTTTGAACAACGGACCTGAAAGGTAAAGTCTTTGGGTCAGTGCTCTAACGTGCCGAAAAATTTCGCTTTTCACCTGTAGATTTGTGTATTATCACCTATACAATATAGTAATCCACTTTCATTGTATCTTACTCTTAGCTTCAATTCAGGTAAAATGAGTGACCAGATCGTTTAATGTAATGTGCATATTTTTCAGGGCTTTCTCGAACTAACAAAGATCGGCTCAAAGCAAATTGATTTTACCTGTCAATTTTGATTAAGGATGGATTTCTTCCGTATGGTGAGAACTTTTAGTCTAGTAACGGCACGGGTTTTGCCGAAATATTAGCGAAAACACTCCACGTTTTTTAGCATCTTGATAAACTTTAAATATTTTTTCCCTTATTTAAATTATATCAAAATGATTGGCTATTTTTTCACTTTCAAACGTTCCACCTAATAGCAGGGATAGGCTTCTTTTAATGGCAAATGATTAAATCTTGCATGTGTAATTTCTCGTTCTATCCTCGCTTTTGTTTCTTGTCTACTGCATACGAGACAGTTAGTGGTCCTAAGCCGTGCCATCTTTATTCGTTAAGTCACACTGGGATTACGAGAGTTAAGTAGTCAAGGGTTTTAAAGAGTTTCGCTTTACAGTAGTAAGTACGCCACTAAATTCACACACAATGTATGAGATAAGACATACTCCTTTTCGAGGGAGTAAGTACAATCTTCTTTCGAGGCCTGATTTTTTTTTGTTCAGTCAAGTTTTCACAATGATTTTAATTGTTACCTGTAAGAGACCAATATGTCACCTTTCACTTGACCAGTTAAGAACTAAGATCATGTGTTTTAATTTACGCTTTGGGTAAGAGAAGCGACAGGTAATGGATATTTTTTTTGAAAACCGATATCAGATAATCTCGTCACTTATTAATCAATGTAAAATGACAGATTAATGTTGAATAACCAACCTTGATTTGCAAACTGAAGCTGGGATTGAGTCGGATCGTATAGTGAGTCGTAACGGTCTATATATGGTAAGGTGCTTGCAAAATTTTAAAGATTATTTGGTTTCATCAACTGAGTTGACAAGGTAAATATATTGGCCACCGTCATGTACAAAGTTTCCAAAGCTGACGTTTCGAGCGTTAGCAGTTGATAAAACAAAATCTTCTTGCATTACTCCCACCGACGCAGCGCTACAGTTTCTTTAGAAACTAACCCCCTTAGAACAAAATTAAGACTTGGTGGATGTACTTAAAATTTATATCAGATTAAGCTTTGTTTTTCATTGAAATGTTCGCGACATTATGTTTAAGCGCAAAAATATTTAATAATTAAAATTATAAATTCTGCCTTTTCTTGTACATATCACCTTCTGGCCCGGGTTGTTCAAAGCTGGGTAAAGATAATCCAAGGTTAGGGTGGAATTTGATTTCAGGTCTAAAAGCTTTAAAAGAAAATTCAGTTCAAATCTTTTTGCTTGCAATATGCCCCTTTGGTGTTCTAAAAACAATAGAGAAAATGTTCCCTAAGAGGCTTTGGAAAAAGAAAAAAAACCTGGATTAAAATTTAACCATGGTTAGCGCTAATTTGCTTTCGAAAAAGCAGCTGAACATTTTCTATTTTTCCTGAAAATTAAAAAGGGATTCAGTAAGGAATAAAGAGACGTCAGTCTCCGAAATAATTCAACAAAAGTCATTTGTTAATCAAATATTTATCTTATTTTCAAGCAAAACACCTGTTTGTGAAAGAATATGGAATATGGGTGGGTGTTAATTGAAGCTTTGGAGAGGTTTTATTTTGGGGCTTTTAAAGATTATGTGAAGGACGTTGCCACTAGGGAAACATTGCCTGTAAGGAAACACTTCTTAAGTGCAAACGAATTAGTTCATGTGTCATATGTTAATTTTCTCTTTTCAAGTTTGTTTGTGAATGACAGTTAGGTTTTTTTTAAATGTTATCTCATTGAGGATTGTAGTTATTTCCCTTTAAGCGTGGTGATCAGTTGACTTGCAATCTGAAATCATGGCGGCTCCTACGACATCTCTACACGAAGAACTGTTGTCCCGATCGATTTCCTCCACTGCTGGAGAATCATTCCTGTACGCGTTCATTGTATCTGTAGGCACTGTTGGTAACTTTGCAGTTCTTCTAGTCTTGTACAAAAATCATCGTCTCCGGAACATTCCCGCGTATTTTGTTGTTTCCTTGGCGATATCTGATATCATAATGCTGGATTTGTGCGCGCCATTTTCAATAGCAGTACTTATGACTGGCGACTGGTTATTTGGAGACCTACTCTGCCAGATTCAAGGTTTCATCGTCATGTTGGTCGCCTGTGCTTCGTTAGGAACACTTGCTCTAGTTGCGATAAACAGGTAAGAGGATAAATTCAGTTTTAATTCAATGAATTCAATTTTTGATAAATGAAGTAGAGATTTGGAAAGAAAGATCTGTTTTGATGAAGAGTGCCAACCGTTGTTTTCAATATTTGTTTGACTTTTTTTATCTTAGCCCTAGTGAATATTTTTTCCAGGCGTATTTTGGCATTCGTTTATCAACGGCTCGCAAGCGCCATTCGCTGATAGAATGGGTAAGGGGAATTGTAATTGCGCTGCATGTATTGTAATGACGAGGACGAGAAACGGTGTTGTAAAGCAAAGCTACAATCAGGGTAAATTCAAGTTTTCTCCCTTGAGCAAGAGGAAACTATTTAAAATTACTTATTAGACAAAAGACCAAACCTAAAATTTAATGTTAGTTTCCGCACCACAATCGATGGCCAATCAGACTCGTGCAGCTCAGTTCCTTGTAGATCATGTAAACCAAGATTATCATTCGGCTTAATTTTGTAAGTATCAACGCTCTATAAGGTCAACTTAACCCGTCGCCTCACTATTCCCTTTTTGTTCGCCGTTGTCTTCTGCGTCCCCCTCTTTTATTACACAGATGCAAAATAATTTGTTTCCTCTCAGTTTATTGAACGAAACTAGAAACAAAATATAGCGCAAGGTAGGATCTGCAAATCGTTTTCAGGAAAAACTCTTATTAAGCTGTGCCGATGCAGGGTTAAAAAAGAAGAAAAAAATGAATGTCGTTAACAATGATGGCCCTTGTGCTATGTGGCATTGACAATAGTCCTTCCCGCTGTTAGGATCAGTTGAGTCAAAAGTGTCGTGAGTGCGAATGGATGAAAAATAAATTCAATTTGCTACTTCCAAGGTTGTTAAATGGAAAAGGGAAACCTTCCATGCACGATTCTTTTATTACTGGTTTCCTTTGTAAACACTTTATTGGCAAATACAGTGTCATTACATTTATTCGGAACACCCTGTCTTGACAGTTGGATTCACCCCAATTATTACTTTTTCCTCTTTCAAGAAGACATTTTTTAAACAAAAAAATGGCGTTATCTTTAAAGTGAGGTTATTTAAACCACGGAAGTCCTATTCACAGAGTTGCAATTCGTTTTATTCAAATATTTTGATTCTGATCCATTTTTTTTCTTTTCGGTGTACCAAACCGGGAAAATTATTATTTGCACTTGTTTCCCCAAGTCAAGATAAAAATAAGTAAATAAAAAAACTTTGGAACAACATGCGACACGCATAAATTTCTGGCGAATTATTAATCGTTGCATTCTCATTTCATCCGTCCCTTTTTAGTGTCATGATGATGATCTATGGTAAAATGTTGGAAGATTCAATTCCATTTGAGTATTTTTTCTCCGTTGTCAAAGAAATGCAATAATAAAATTCATTAGATTAATAAATTTTTTTTTGAACCAAAAAGTAAATACCTCAAATTGGTATCAGGCTACCAGCCTAATTGAATTGTTACTTGTAAGTTAAGCGAATTGTATGAGCAGAATTTGAAACAATTTGCTCTAACTTTAAGATGCCGCTTTTTTTCTTAAGGAGTTTTTCGGTCACATTTGATTTGACTTGCATGAGTTGTTTATGCTGAAATTAGGTGGAAAAACCGACCGTCTTAAAATTGACTAAAATGTATAACAACTCACAAATCTGACGGAAAAATCGGTAGCGTAGTTACTGTGGTTCTTCTTAAATATTTTAGGGACACTTAATCGAACTCATCAAAAAAAGCTTTCATTGCAAGTCACGTTTAACTGAAAACAGTTTTGCATCTAGTCGGGGTGGACAGGATAGGGATTCTAAGAGAAAATTACTCCAAAGAATTTCCTTTTATTCCTTGCGTTGAAAGGCGCAGAGCCGATGAAAGAGCGGGAAAGCACGAGCACTGGGTTCTATTGGTTGGAAAGAAGGCACCGGCCTGCGTTTGCTAAGCTAAATCATCATGTAACTCCTTGAAATTCAATCTATGGTTCCTCCTCCAGTTTAGAGACGAAACCAGAGATTTCTTGTCAACTCCTTTCCTTGACTCGAGCAGTTTACATTGCGCCTAATATCAGGGAGTTGACGGAATTAAAATTTTCAATGTCTGCTGATTTTTGGAGGATGCTATATACAACCAGAAATACACAATGTCCAATAAGTATTACAATTTAGAATTGCACTTTATTCATCTGGATAGAAATAAAATGAATGACTAAACCTCTACCACACTTGATTAGAAGTGATTTGCCGAAACAGATTCATATTTACTGACACCATTTTCCAAAAAGGGTCCATCTACTGATACCTTTTGGTTTTGTTTCTCAGATATTTTCATATCGTCAAAACCTCACAGTACAGAGTTATCTTCACTCCAAGGAACGCAGTCCTCATCATACTCGGTGGATGGGCATCTGCCTTTATCACACCTTTGACTTACACTGCGGCTGGTAAAGATTACGTATTCCAACCTGGAAAGTTCTTTTGTTTCATGGAATCGAAGTTCACTTTGCTCGTGCTACCCTTTTACGGTTTTATTGCCATCTCAATGTTAATTCTCATCGTATGCTACCTGAGTGTGTTCAAAGCGTTGAAAGCCCATGAGAAAAACGTTGCAAACAATCTTCGGAAAGGAAACACCCGCCAAATAGTAATTTCGTTGGAAGATATCAGGGTCACCAAGATTTTATTTGCTACTGTGGTAGGCTTCGTCCTGTGCTGGACACCAGTACTGGTGATTGACATTGTCGATGCATTTCTTGGGTCGGAATGGGAGCTAACCCGTGGAACCTATTACATGTATACCATATTTGGTATTACAAGTTCCGCCATTAACCCTATAATTTATGGAGTCATGAATCCTTCCTACAGGAAAGCTTATTGCCGGTTATTCGGATGCCGCCGAGTAGGTCGCGTCGGAGATGTGACAACTACCCAGGGACCGGAGCTGACGAAACATGAATTGATCCCGCCAGCAAACGACGATTCGTCAAAGACTTATTCACAGCAGATCCCACGATCTGTTCACCAGGTTCCTTCTTCTGATCAAGAGTGAGAGGGTAATACGAAAGCCCCACTAAGGCAAAATTAAGTTAAACTTTTATCAAAATTTACAAGACGAGCTGGCGTTTTACAATGCAGCTAAAAAGTTCAAAATAATCAGGGAACTGTGTGGTATGCTGATCAAGCACGAACTCCACAAAAATCGAATCCACGGAAATCAGATCAACCATGAAAGTTTTTTGGTCTTCAAAGCGTCTCTGTTTCGAAAAAGTGAGAGATAAAAACAAACAAACGTACAATCATAAGCGAAAAAAAATGCGAATAAGAAGGGTTTACGGACTAGGCAATTCAAGCCAAGAGAAATCATTTAATGTGAAGTAAAGACACGAAACACTAAAAAAACGGCCCTGATTTATATCCCCAAACGTAAACGTCCCCTTTATTATGCATCATAATACTCATATCCTACGATGCGATGTTACAAGTAATGTTTACAGGGGTTAAAAAGGGGCATTAAGCCCTTACTCGTATGCTTTATTACTTACAAAAGTTAGATATGAAGTACCAAGCTAACAGTACAAGACATGGGTATTAGGCCCTCTGCATAGCCATGTAACTTGGTTTGGTAAACACATAAAACTGTCGCGGTAAGATTAACTATAATTAACAATTTTGAAGCCACTGACAAATAAGTGCAAGATTTAATCGTTAAATACAAAAGTTAACAAGACTTGCAAGGTAACAAAAGTTAGTCTCTAGAATGGACATCTTTCGAAACGCCCCCACCATCGAGCAGCTCAAAAATCTCGCTTTTAATCGTAAATGGCCTCAAAATTCGAAATTCTGTTTTTAATTTCGTACGCAAGGTCACTTGACTTGGAAATACAACGATATTTATCTGAGAAGGAAAATAATAAAAGCTCTATCGCACGATGATAATTGCTAAATGTGTGAGGTTGAGTTGTGGCCTTGATTTACTACGCTTTCTAACAACATGCGAACCATGAAGTTAATGTTGAGGACCTCTCAGGAAACAAGGATGATGTTTCAGAAAGTTTAAAAGATTGTGTTATGAGGTTTGATGACAAGATTTCGGTTCAGTTTGTTATCATTTTTCTGCATTTCGAGATTCGTTAATTTCTGGCTATAAGACCGAGAATTAGCATTTATCTGTATGGCGCAATATGACAAGTGAAAACGACCTCAGAAATCAACGATCAAAAATAAGCTTCTCTAACTGCATCATGGGAAATTCCACGCAAACTGACACCACGAAAGCGGCTGCATATGAAATACCGACCACTCCAACAAAAGAGATGGACTGCAAAGTAAAGTAACGCAACAGTTAGAAACATTGGTCTACGCATAATCATGTGCCTGTCAGGAGAGCTGTCGAGGCAAGTTTTGTCGAAGGCTGCGATAGATTATTCCTGTAATGAAGTTGAAGCAATGGCAAGAAGTTTGAATGTCGACGATTTTTCTTGTTTGTCGCACTATTCACTAATAACTCACGCCCTTCGAAGAAGGCGTGAGTTAAAAATTCGGCTTAGTTCTTCTTCAGTCCTAAATTGTCGTTGAGTCAAAACGCACACTCGTGAGTGCAACTTTTTCACAAGAAAGCAGGGGAAAAGATTTCCACATCATTCTCGAATTCTTTTCACAAGCCTTTAACTCAGCAAATGTCAAATGGATGTGTTTGACCCTTCCATTAAAAAACGATAACACTAATGAGCTCAGATTCGTTTCCAACTAATACTAACTGGCTCGTTTACGCGATTAATGAAAGTAAACTATGTTTTTGTTCTATTTAATTTCTATAAATTTCTCGAGACAAAATCGACACAACTTACAATGTGGACATCAGAATATGCTTGCACAGTCTCGAACGATCCATAGAGTGCAACAATGGCAATTATATGGACAAGGTACGCACAGTACGTCAGACGGCTTAATGGAATCCAGAACCGAGCTGACAAAATTTTATTCACCAAACCTTCAAAGCAGACAAGCAAAGACAAGTAAAAACAAATGGATTACAAAAGTCGCCTAATTCTCAAAATGCAAAAACACATAATGTACCTCGTAAAACTGCTGAGATTTCTCATAACACAAAAACTTACCACCAAATCCGTTTTGACAAGCAAAAATCACCCAGGCTAAGGCCAAGCTCCATGCAAAGCGGGAAAATGTCCCGTATGTGATATTCTCGGCGCGAGAGAAAGGTTCAGGATGGTCTTTTCGTAAAGCTTTGTATTCGCCATAAAGCGTCGACAGAGCGAGGGCAATAGCCACACACCAACCAGCCATGTTCAACAAGCGCATGTTGGTCTTACAAGAGAAAACAAGATCTCTAATGATCGCGTTAATTAAAGGCAACTGATAAATCTTCAGAAATATTTCTCCTCGGCAACACAACAAAAACTGATTCACTTAAAAATCCGTAAATTTAACTCATTAAAAATTCATAATGATAGCAATCTGAAATAAATGTAATTGGAACAAATTATACAATGTTAATCTTGTAGCTAATCGTGGGAGCACCTCTCGGAATCATTCACGACATTCAACGGCAATAAACACCATGCAACGAAAAGGATAGGCATCAAAATACAACATAGTACCTTTGAGGGAAGCTTCCAATTCTTTGCGTGAACAAGTAGGTAACCCAACACCATACCAACAAGATATGGTGCAATTCGACAGTAGGGCTTGACATATGTGAGGGACGAAGAATCAATACCAGCCGCTCTACAACAAAATGATGAACAAGAAACACATAAGCGATTTAATAATCAGGGCTTTTGCTGTAAAGGTCAGCCTCTTTGATTAAATCGCGTGTTTTGGCTTGTGATAGACGCGCTTTATCTGTTTTCCAGCAATAAACCTGCAAGTTCACACAACTATCGTGGCGTGTTGTTAATCTCCAATGCTAAGTTCAGAGTAGGCCCTTTGTTCCAGTAGGAAGAGGTTTTGAGATTTACAATTTACGTGACAAGTTTCTTGGCTGTCTTTCGGCAGCGATTCACATTCCTCGGTTGGCTTGTTCGAATCACAAGTTCGCTAGCTTGGTGCAAGGACAGATTTTTCATTTAGCTCTGAGAGCTTTGCCGAAAATTTTCCTGCTTATACAGGGGGTGCACTTTTTCCTCGAAAACCTCTCAAAATTCTAGAATAATGCACAGTTTCATAGAAAAGAGATTAAAATCAAGTTTATCTCTAAATTCTGATTTAGCACCAACTACCTCGAACAACTGGGCCCGGTGAAAAAAGTTTCCGTGAGATTAAAATGCCACACCCAAGAACCTTCTCGACGATTTAAACCCTGATATTTGGATCCGGCGTTCATCACAGTAACCAGCACGCTGCCTCTTCTCTCAACATGGATTTACAATTTACTTTTGCATATTTTACATCAGGGTAAGTAAGAATGACTTACGCTTCAGCAGTAGCTGCAGGACTTAACTGAACTGCAGCAAGATGATAATGTGCATATAAGATAGCTGTTGTGATAAAACTGATCCCCATCAACGCAGCAACAATGAGAAGCAGTCCCCGCAAGCGGAATCTAATCACAAAAATACGTCACAGTTAGAAACAACAAAAATACTCTAGGATGCAAGTTAAGAAAAATGCACGAATTTCCCTATGAGAAAATCTTAGTAGCAATAATTTTTGTTATATAAGTACCATTTGTGTACTTTCGTTTCCAACGTTACATCTTGATACAGCGGTCATGTCAGTCGATCCCACAAATAATAAAAGGACTTTATATTTCAAAAGTAGAAACTATACGAAATCATTGACTATCCTTAAAGTGAACTATATTTTTCAACACAAAAGAGGTTTAATTCTGTGTATTACTAGAACCTCACAGAAACGCTTAAGCGCCACGCAAAAGCAGCAGTTGGGAGCATTACCCATACTCAATTCAGGACTAAAATAAATCACAATTTTATCTAGTTATTGGTCTAAACACATCTTGAAACCGAATATGAGGCTTACAGTTTTCCTCGCATGAAGCTATAGTGCACACTAAGTTTTTGCGAAAATTCAGGCCACAATGAAATATATATGTTCTGTCTGGATGGTGCAAGGTTGATACCTAACATTTCTAAAGAAGCGAGATTTTTAGCCTGAATACCTGTATGCCGTGAAGAGGATAGCAGGAGAGATGATATAGAACTGCATATCATTAGCTAAGTACCAGGACCAGCCCATACACTGTAAAGAAAACAATGATAGGATCCATACACGTAAAACTGTCAATAAACAGTCCATAAAAGGCTACACTTCCGTATCTGTCTTAAAACGTGGGAGTGGAGTTTGGATATCAGGACTCTGAAATTCTTCCCTCTGCAAATGTCTCTCAGCCTCAACAGGCATGTTCTTTTTCCAGGCTGATAATAAGTAAAGGTCTCCATTTAAACATACACAACATCTACTATCCTGAACATTAGTTTTAAGTCATACCGAAATTGAAAATTTAGTGGGATAAAAGTTGTTGATGTAGAGAAGATTCGTCCACCAGTAACTGTCGCAAGTGTTGCCCGCCTGCAATGTATACCACATCGGACCCTCGCCCAAGAATGGTGTCATTTTATCGAAAAACAGCAAAACGAACATGTAAGTTGGAGTCAACCTGTAAAGAATTGATGAAATAAACTTTAAACGAGATATCTTCCAGTTCAATACTATTATCACAAAGATAAGAACCTCAAGGCAAAAATGTAGGTTTTAAAGCGTCACACAATCGACTTTCGCCTGAAGGGTCTGTCCTCTAGCGAGAGGGTTAATTAACTATTCAGCTGAGTCCTTCAACGAGTAACACACGTTTGTTTTTAAATTGCCGATTTATTATTCCAAACCTTAACTTTAAGGCCCGTGTTCTCACAACTTTCCGTGCTTTTCCTGTTCTAGATTGATTCATTTGTCGTATAAAGTCTTTTGACATGAATAACAGAAATCGCTAGAAACTACGACGGACACACAGGATGTGAGTAAGTTTTATCGATTTAACGTGTAAAATGTTCATATTTCGAAATATTTATTGTTATAAATCGACCATATTTTGTTCCCCATACTATTCCTTATAACGTGTTCAAATGTTCAACGGTTCCTCTCGCAACTTAACACCGAGTCACACAACGCGTGACGCTTTCGTGAATTAATCGTTGGCTTTTTCTCGAGACGTGAGCGTTAGCCGCCTGTGTTTCCCAAGAGAAAACTTTGAGATATTCGAATTGAGTTCCCCTAATGCATTTAGAGTAATTACAGGTTTAAGAAGCTGTTTTGACCAACAGCCCTTCACACGCAATGTCAAACTGCATAACTAGAACTGAATTGGCTACGAAGATACTTGAATTTGTACAGTACCTTCTACACTCTAAATATTATATTAGAAGATAGAAGTGAAAAAATACAATATCATATCAATGCTTGTACCTCCAAAAACGATGAAAGTAATACATGAAGAGTGGAAGTTCCCCATTTTTCTTTTCCATATTACGAAGTGCCAGATAAGCTACCAAAAGGCCGCTGGTTTCAAAATGAATAAAAGTAGTTAAGATCATCACTCAATTTACAAAACTTCCCTAGAAAATCAAGAAAATAACGTCTTTCAGTTGTGTCTTTCAAAATGCTGCTGAATACCATAGATACACTGATAAGTAGAGAATAATACATGGGTGCGATAGCTCACGAATGAGAAGTCGAGTTGAACACGAGAAGAGAAATTTCATATCTACAAGCAACCATGTATCATTTTGTTTATCATCTAAACACAAGGGCCTTTTACTGACAAGAAAAGTCGACTTTATTAATGAATGAAAATGAAAGGATCGACAGTCCCCTAATAAAAATCGTTAAATGCGTTGGCGCATTCAAGATGAAAACATGGGTTGAATCACTACAAAACAAACAATGGGCCTAGTTTACATTGTACAAATTCTCAGTCATTGAATTGGTCCTTACCGACAGAAGAGATCTTTCAGGTACACGGCCAAAATCGACCTGTGGCAAATCTTCCAGTTTTCGATTTTCTTTCTCAGCCGCGAGAAATGCCATTACCAATGCCACTGAATACGTAACTTTCGGTTTTTCTTTCCGTATTTTGGTTTTCTTCCCCTTCTAGGAAAGTTTGAACGTCACTATCGGTAAGTGATACGGATTTTACAGTGTTTTAGCTGCCATAATCCGAAAAAATTCCAATAAACAACTTTGGATTAAGAATTGCGAAGGCTTTACCTGACCGAGTGGCGCGAAAAGCGAGTGACGTGTCAGCAGCTGATTGGCGACATCAAACACACGTGCAAAAATATCGTTTTTTTTTTCACGTGTGTTGTTACGGCTTTTCTCAGGGCTGGAAATCCTTGTATAACACCGTAGTTTACATGATAAAGAGCTAGTACTGATCTGTCGCAAAAAGTGGAGATCGCGATACTGGCAGGAAGCTGTCTGGAGTTAGGACCGGTCGTTACTTACCGCCTGGGGAGGAGGGGAGGGGGAAGAAGGGGGGAAGGAAAAGGAGGATTTTGGTTGTGTCACAATAAAATTTACCCAGTAGGCTCTGTAGAATTCTTATAATCCCCTTCGTTGGCAGTTAATGGGCGGTCAATATTTGATGGTGCCTCTTTTATACTCTGTTGATGACGACTGATCCCTTCTTTGTTCCTCCCGAAAACCATGTGATTCCCCCTTAAAAAAATCCCCAACCCCCTCCCCCCTCCGTTACACAATTACTCATAATATGGAGACAAACTTACAAAAATGCGTTTACATTGGATTTTATTCAGGGTTTAAGATGACCTCGAAAATGGTTTCAGGATTAAAAGATGCAGAACGTACCTGAGGAAAAAGAAAGTATCCACTGAAAAGGTTGCATTGCCAACCGCTTGGAATGTGAACCGATGAATAATGTTCGTAAATAACTTCAAATTACCTACAGCAAATCAGAATAAGAAAATTGATATGGTTAGTTGCAAGACGCTCGTAAATATCTCGATGAGACAAGTTGTCCACATTCGTCATAAACCAAGTGATATGAAAAAGAAAAAGGAACAACAGGTGAAGAATTACTATGAGAGAAAAAACTGATCAAAATAATGATTGAGAAAAACAACTTTTAAATACGTTTCAGAGATAGTTTAGTGCAATCAACACTTGTAATGTAAGTTGTGTGAGAAGTGATGATATTGTAAGTGTTGCTAGTATTGTAATGTTTGTGGCTCCAATATGGTAGTGTCAGTAGCATTTAGTAGTAACTTAGTGTAACCTAACTTAGCGTTCAAACAGTATCAGTGTAGTCAGAGTTAAAATTAAATAGTAGCGGTGGTAGTAGCAGTAGAATTGTGAGTGGGGTTGATACTAAAGTGCAAATAGCTTTAATATTATAGTGCCGATAGCGTTAGTAGCTAAATAAAAAGTAAAGTAATGTAGAAACTATCAGTGTAATTAGTATCTTTACAGAAGACAAAATATAAGCAAAATCAAATACTTACTAATAGATGTTATCATTTGTACGGAGAAGAGATGTCCTAAGATGACCCACCACATGCTTAGCACTCTCATACCATTAATTGATGTGATGGCACTGGGAGGGACATTGGTATCCATGATACGATTTGTATTTTGGATCCATGAAAAACATAACAAGAATCGCGACACAAAATCTGCGGTAAAAAATCAAAGAAATCTTGTTAAGTAATAGAGAGTGCCACTTGTCCTATTTTAAAGGCTGCAGTTTGAAGGGGTTCGACTTGAGTATTTCAGCGACTCGCACTGTAAATATCTTAGTGCTGCATAAACATTAGTATGATTCTCAGACGGTCTACTGTCGCAGTAAATTCGTCGGGGAAATACACCCTGTGAACACATTTTGCAAACCCACTACAGAAATTCAAACGGAAGGCGACCACACTCTTCTCGGTCAATCTGAAAATTTTCAAATCGCTGATAAGAAAAACATCTGAATTTCCTAAAATTTATGTCTACAATTTTCCTTCTCCTTCCGCGGAAACATTATTCAGTGTTTGGACACATCGGCGTGTTCAATCAGTGAGGTTCACCTTTGAGGATCCTTTCGATATTTGATTTCCATTCTGGTTCGTTGGCGGATTATTTTTTTTCAAGCCTTACAAATCCTTTGTAAACGTCCAGAACTGTCGTGTAAGTGTGGTCTTCGTAGCCTTATGAAACCTTCTATTTAGCATCAGACAACGCAGCTCTCAATGGAAAAGATCTTTGTGTGAAAACAAGTAGTTATACGCGATTTCATTGGCCCTTCAAACATAATGGTTCCATGAGGTGAGGAAAGAGAATTCCGATGATCCCAAGGTTCTTTAGGCTACGAGACGAAAAGGTGAGAGGGGGAGTGGGCGACTTTGAACAAGTTGGGAAGCAACCCAATCCGCAGATCAAACAATTCTCAAAAAAATATCTGTAGCATTTAGAACCCCCAGAGGATGAATTGATACACTACATCCACAGTTGAATAAGCGCAATAAAAGTTCAACGACCACAGCACACTGATTTACATAATACCTACTTGGCTTAGCGGGTTCTTGAGGAAGGCTCGACAAAATTGGCCTTGAACTCGAGGAAACTGTGGAAGAGTGGATTAGATTTGAGCTGTCACTGAAGGTATCATGGTCTGTTGCCATGGAGGCCCCTCTGACCGGCATGAAGCCATCACTTTTGTTGACAGGTGTGGAGTGTGGTTTCATAAAGCCAATAGCTATGTCCAAGCTGGTTCCAACCAGACAGAGAAGCAAGACTAAGCCAATTAAAATCCTGTGAGGATGAAGAGAATGAAAAAAATACTTACCTACAGGACATCGTGCAAATTCAGAGTCACGTATGAGTTAGAGTTTCTTGTACCATTGAAAATCAATAGTAATTCGTCTTGTGTAAAAAAAAAAAAAAAGGTTCGACAATATTACAGCAGTCTAAGAAAGTTATCAAACCTCTCATGGATTTGTAAATTTAATACATTTGGAAGGACTCAAAATTGGGGTATAACTCTGCGATGATTTTGAGAAATTTAAATGTAGAACAAAAGCTCAGACTACTGAGAAATTTTTCTATGGCCTTGTGAGTATAGTTTTTAACGTATCGCGCGCGCTGGCCCAACATCAAATTACTAGTTGGCAGTAAACATAATTAGCAAAAGGAATTATGTTGCATCCGGTAGACTTGCAGGAGTATTGCACAAATTTGATAGCAGTGCTATAGTCGTCAGAGGAGGGCTCAAATATTACGCTATAAATTATCTTAACTGAAAAGATGTGACTCTTTGGGAACAAGGCACACTTTAAAGCGGCAGTCATCAATAGTGTTACACTGAATATCTTTGTATCATAATCAGCATATGTACTCACAGCGTTAACTTTACTCCCGTTGTGTATTCCGAAGGTTTATTACAGAAAACAGGTTTCTTATGGGATTTATCTCCGATGAAACTGACTGGCTGAGGGTCCAAGCTCACCACCGACTCATTGCCACCTGAAAAGGGGAGTATTTTGTCGTTAGAGTGTATGTGTTTCTTCAATTAATCTTGTTTTCTACGTCATTAACCCTTTAGGTCTTAATCTTTTCATTCCAAGCAGCATCAATACACGTACTTAGGTTCTCTGTGCAACTTCGATACACTGTTATATGGACAGCTGATGATGATTTAAATAATAACAAAGAAGTAATAATATTTTGGAAAAATTAAAACAAATTCCCAGGACTAATTGAAAAACAAATATTCTATATTCCTTTTCACTTCTTGGCAGTTCATACAATTAAGAACGAGCTCGTGTCGAACCTGGTTTCACTTAAGATCGTACAAATCCTCACCATTGTTTAGTTGTAGTTGGCTATCGCTTGTTGGGTAAAGAAGAGTATGTAAACACTGATCAAGTGAGAGATGTAGAAGGCTAATGGTTAGTGCGCTGGACTCCGGTTCAGGACCTGGTCAGGTCAATGTGTTGTGTTCTTAGGCAAGACACGTTATTCTCACAGTGCCCCTCCCCCCGAAGAGTATAAAAAGGATACCGGCGAATCGTAAGGGAAGCCTGCTAAAATGCTGGAGGGTAACCGCGCGACGGACTAACATCCCATCCAGGGGAGAGTAGTGATACCTCAAGTCACAAGTTACTTCATGCTAAGGAAACCGAGATAAGTTCGCTTAGGTGGCCACTTGGCCCGGGTAAAACCTAAACACTGATCACACATCAGCATTACAGCTGTGGATGTAGTTGGTATTTTGCTATCTCACTACTTCATGTTTTAAACATAACTCAGTCAAAATCTATACGCGGACCTTCATCGAAGGAAACGACACTGAACATGTGTTTACCTGTAAAGATTTCTTGTAGAGCTTTCGTTACATCCTCTTCACTGCATTGTTTTGGCGCACAGACACCCCAATGTATGGGCACAGTCTTCGTGAAAAAGGGAAAAAAAACAATCAGAAAAATTAGTACCATAGAAGAATTCTAATAAAACGCTGATGAGGTTGGAAAAAATCTTCTAGGTTCGCATACAGATGGCTAAATCTCCCAGATTAAAATAAAATTGGACATCATCATCATGAAAGAGGGATTCTAAACTAAATTTCAACTCCACCAGGAAAAGGAGGAGATTGCCTTTGGAAGGAGAGTTATGTTTTTTGTTTGTTTTTTAACATTCGAATTATCATTTACAAACTGCATAGACTGCTTGAGAATGGGGACTTATCTACCTTCATTATAGCAAAAATATTTTGTTGAAGAATTTTTCGTTGTATCTTTGCAACTCTTTCTTCTTTCCGAGTTTTGATGATGTACGTCCATTTAGCAATTTCAGTTCATAGGGAGAAAGTGTAATTCAGCAGTCACAACAACAAAAACAACAAACAGAAGTTGCATCTCTTAAGTATCTTGGATCAAACAATCTGTAAACACTTCACCTTATTTAATGAGATGTAAGCTAGGCAATAGTGTGCATCACTGATGGTCTTTGTGCATTCACTGTAGGATCCTAACCAACCAAAATTTCCCAATAGAAATCCACTTTGAGGTTTACCAAGGGCATCTAGGTCTAAAGAAAAAAAAATCAATTTACACTTCTGTTTACTGGTATCATTCTCTGATTAGGCGCCACGATTACATCATTGTCTTTGTTCGTGTTTTTTGTTTTTGCTAAGCTTTAGTCTTGGCGTTCTTGCAGTTTTTGTTAATTAGTCTCATATTGTGTTCTTTCTTCGTTCAATATGTTTGGTTTTATTTTGCATTTGTGTGTTGTGTCTCGGTTGATTATTTTTCGTCAGTTCAGGTTTATTTCTGCGTTGGTTGAAGACTATTTCAGTCGTAGTGGGTTTTTTTTTTCACCGCTTCGATGGCTTTGCTTTTCTTCGCTTCGTGTTTTGCATCGATTAGTCTGGTTTTGTTTTGTCGATTTAACGAAATTTGCGACTACAATCTGTGTAATCCTTTTCGACGTGATGACCTTTAGTGGCGTTTCGAGTTCAGTCTCCTTTACACAGTTTCTCTGGTCACGTAATACAACAACAACAACAAAGAAAAGCCTTCGAAGTGATAATAATCGTCTGCCAAGGTCCACTCCATCATAGGACGCTTTGATATGATGGATTGGTTTCCGGCACTTGCCATATTGACAGACCATCTCACAAAGACAACAATGCGTGACCCTCTCTTATGTGTCCCCGCAAGTAATGTCTTTCTTACTGAGTAGCCATTGAAAACATTTGTTTTTTAACACCAAAATGCAATCATGATTTAACAAAATTGAACAATGTTTAACGCATTTTAAAGGCATCGGCGTAAAATCAAGACCGCGATAAATTTATGAGCGGATCACCATTGTTTTCATTGAAGTAAAATTGAATAATGTCACGCAACAACCGGTTGAGTATTTCGCCGGAACAAAAATGAGAATGAAATAACAGAAGAAGATTCCGAGACAAATTTCCTGCATTCCATTTCTTAGCTGATACCTTCGTCTGCTTCTGATTACACTGAAGTAGCCCTGAAATGGAGGGCACGAAATCCTTAATTGGTCGCCTCAAGAATGACGTACGAAATGAAACCCAATCGCTTGGCGATCGCCGATCAACACTAAAGGATTATAAATGCCGGGTAAACATGCATTCGTTTGACCTCGAGACTTATGAGTCATGTCTTTTTTTGGCGCAATGCTTCATGATTTGTCAGCAACTTTTTTCCAAATTTCATGTTACATTTTAACATACCTATTAATTCACGAGTACCAAGTTTTAAACACGAAAATTCACGATTCCTTCTAATCTAATCGCTTTGATTCTTAATTCATGATTCTGCTTCAAACTCCGAGTGCTTACATTTATCTTAACGCCACACAAGTCTTCACAAAAAAAAAATTCATTTTAGAGAAAAGAGCTTCGTTGAGTGAAGAAAGTTAGGATGCATCTTAGATCCTAAGTTTGATATGGCCTTTGTTCACGTTTTCGTGACATCGGCGACAGGAAGCGGTATTTTTGACTTAGCGACTTGTGAAAGCTTAATTTAACTTTTCAGTTCACCGTGCACAAACAAGATGACACAATGGTTGTGCTTTTTTATAAACTTAACACGCTATCCATACTCACATTGTGTAAAGTCAGGCTTTGAGGGCAGATTCGTCAGAGTTTCCCTGCATTCCTCGGAAACGTTCAAAGTGAAAGAGATATTTGGAAGTGACTCAAGAGAGACACCTAACTTTTTAAAAATCTCATCGTAAGCTGTACGTGTCAGTCTGTAGGATGCCAATGATAGCTTCTGGAATGAGCAAAGCACGAAAAAAACGGCGAAGACCTTGAAAGCCACCTTGCAACATTCTGCCATTTTGGATCCTCAAGTCACGAGATCTATCTGAATAATATACGTCCGCAATACGTAACCGGCTTCAAAAATAGCTTGGATGCGTGGATCATCGGAGCGCGTAATGTTTACCTTAGCGTTACAAAGTAACGCTAGTTATAAAAGGAAAAAAAGGGCATTTTCTTTATTTATAGATATCTCGTTCGTTGTTCTTGACATTGCCGTTACAGTTTCTATTGAGAAAAATCTCTTAAGAAGGATCCTAAAAAATTATAAAAACATCTATTTACTGCGCGAAATCCATGGAATGGAATTCCGGCTAAAAGGAACGTCGTGTTCCTCGTTTGCCTGGAAAGTATTCGAAGGCAACCCGAGCGCAGACTCAACAATTTATAGGTTTTCGGCAAAAAGTTGAGAAGTTTGCTGGAGGCTTTACGAAAGTTACATTTAATAACTTTTAATAATAACTCGATATTTAATAAGATAAAAATATACTATAATAGGGACTTTCATACCGTGAGGTCTGGGTTCTAGTTTAAGCTTGTAACGACAACTAAACAAACATGAGGTTGTGAATGGGATTAACCGACTAGCGACAAAGGGCGAAAAATACTACCGACTACCGACAAAACGAGAAAAAAATTACCGACTACCGACAGAAAAAAAATTAACCGACTACAGGCATGGGCCGACATTATCGATATTTGTTTTCAGAAAGATGAGATCAAAACAGCATTTTGTATTTTTTCTAGTTTACAAAGTAACCACATCAAAGGTAACTATAGAATTTCTTGTCATCTTCTTACTTTTTGGCCGGAAGAGCGCGGAATCATTTTGCAGAACAATTTCCGGTACTCGAGCCCACGAAACCTCCCGCTGTAATATTTCAACCACATTGTTTGTTCATACGGTCCAGCCGTGTCAGCATGAGTGGAATCATAAAAGTGATAGTGAGTTTTTTCCGAAAAGGCGAAGAAGTCGCAATCGAACGCCACCGTAGCCGAGTTCTGGTTGACAAAGATAAACACACACAAGAGTATTCGAATTTAAAAAACATCTGACAGAATTTTTGGGATTGAATGAGCAAGCTCTTCAATTTGGGGTTGGTACTTTCTCGCTGAAGCTCTTTCGCCTGGCAAAATCGTCCACGGGCAAATGCGAGAACTTTGCTTTAGTAACAGATGGGAAGTGGCAACTAAAACTGCCAAATATAATATCTGACGAAGGCAGCAGTGAGCTCCACGGTAAGTCGTAGAACGCTCTATTAGTCTGAATAGTTTTCAAACATGTCCAGCGGAGTGTAATGGTTACATCACTGTGGTAGTTCTGTAGTTAAGTTGTAAGATTAAATATTTATGTTGTTCTCTACTCGTTCTATTTTTCCCATTTGCTGTTTTTCGTGAAAAGAAAATTTGTGTTTTAGAAACGAGCTAACTAATAAAAAAATATCCCTTATAAATAATATTAGTGAGTAAAGTGGTTTAAATATAAGTTTCCATCTGTATTTCTGTGTAATGAATAACGCAACTTAACAGCAATAACAGTTTCGCCTGCAAATCGTTGTATTTTATTTCGGTTGTTAGAATACAAAAATTTTCTAGATTGACAATCTGTTGTTTATCGCATTTATAATTAAAAGAAAATAATACCATATTCTATTGATTAGTCTCCGTGTTATGTCTTGTTTTCCTTTTAAATATCCATTCTACAGCGCTCAAATTTGTTCCGATGTTTTATAAGTCCAAGACCAAGCCAATTTTCTTGGCTTGGTCTTGGTTCAAGTGGCTATACGAAGCAAGAATATTTCTCAGCTCGAACTTGGATATTTGAACATTGGTCTTTCGACATTTGCATATGGTTAAACTGCGGTGTCCCAAGCGATAGTCGTTCATGGTCTGGAAAAAATTGTCTCGCCCTCGCCACAATGGATTCCATATGGTCCAGCTCTCATCGATGTAAATAAAGGCACAAGCGCCCGCGATATTACAAAACGCCGGTTGCTTATTACAGCAACTCCATTGCAACACAAACGCTATTAATCCTGAGTGGTGATATTTCTGTGAATCCGGGCCCAGTACAAACAGCGACATCAAGCACCCAGAAGTCAAAACAAAAAACAAATTCCAAGCGTTACATGACGAAATGTGATTGCTGTGAGAAGACGATAAAAAGAAATCAAGCAAGCATAACTTGCTGAGCTTTTATTGGCTCTTTCCACCTGAAATGTTCCGGCCTGATAGCTTCTTCCTCTGGTTATGCATTAACTGTCTGGGATTTACCCTGCCCTTTTACAAGTGCTCTGACGCGGAAATGTTGGATGATACGCTCGATTTCTCCGCATCTCTTGATCCTGGACTTGATATTCATCCGCTCTGCTCTAACTCAGGCCAGTTAAAAATAATGCATCTTAATACTCAGTCCATGGTTTCGACATTTAATGAGCTTTTACTCACTGTCAATTCATATCCACTAGACATTGTAGCATTGAGCGAAATCAGCCCCACCAATATGGCGCAAACATGTGCATGTCACGGCTCCGTTGAAATGGTCTCCTCTTACAATTGCTTTGCTGTCTTCTACTTGGTCCTGGCCGTCTTGGAAGGGAATAGAATGACCTTAATTCAGAAACCGAGCAAATGAGACCAGTGTGTATGTTTCTGATATCATCCATTGCTGCAAATCGCCGCCATCTTGTAAATAGGTGTCATATTATCATCCTGAACAACAATGTCCCTACGGCTTACCCTGGGATTTTCGTAGATGCACCAAAAATTCAAAAATGGTTTTTTTCCCCCTCTAATTCGTTGATTGGCGAGATATTTTAGTGTTCTTTACGCTCAGGTGTGTGAATCCCTTTTTTCCCGCCTTTCCAGGAATTTTTTTCACTTCGAAAAAAAGAAGTAGGGTCATCAGCAAAAAAACTCTAATCGGCCAGGTTAAGCCGAAAAAATTGCTCTTTCGGTACCCTGGGACTAGAAACGGAGTTCTAAACACTCATACGTATTAGACTAACTACCCTGATAAAAAATAATCGATTTTTTTAATTATGACAAAAAAGTCTAGTAGACCTTCATACCAGGGACAGGATCTGGTGCTCGGAAAGTCACTTTCACTTTTTTTTTAGGGTTGGAGTAAGGGTTAAGTCTATAAATCACAAAGAAAAGAAGGGTATTGGAAAAAAATTCCCCATATTTCTAATTAAATTTCCCGTGCACTGTCCAAATTTGGTACAAAACGATAAAATTGTCTTTGATTTAAAAATGTTCAAACATTGAACCAGCTTTTTTGATGGCTAGGGTCAACAACCAAACAAACATCATGTCATTTGCATCATTTATTTTCATTTAAATAACATAAAAATCACGAGACATATACAATAACACTTTAGTGGAAATCGTCCTTTTCGGGCTTACTCTTACATTTATTAAGACTTCCTTAATGAAAATAGTGTAGGTTCATCAACAAAAATGACAACTTCTCAGAAATTGCTCATAATTTTGTCTAAATTGATTAAAACGTTGTGAAAAACATACAATGTATTGTCCATACGTCCTAAAGTGTTTCTGTGAAATAAATATTTCGTAATATTTAAACTTACGGCTTAAATTTCACTTCAAAGTAGATAATAACGTCTTATCTTCAAAACATACAACTTTGAGAGAGAAAAAGCCGAAACTAACAACCTCCAGTGTAATAACTTTCAAACGTCCTTAACAACAATTGTATAACGTAGTCCACTTCCAAAAATGGTCTCTTTTAGCTAAAATCTGAATTTTTTTACTGATTTTTATTCAAAGGTGTGCATTTTCGCCCTTCACTGAGTTCAGTCTTTGGAAGTAGGCTCATCAAGAAAAATCAATTTTTTCATTTAATTTAATGTTTTTCGCTTATTGGTGCAATTTGACAGGTCTAAAATATTAAACGGTGCATATATTCTTCTCCCATATAAAAAAAATTCACGTTACCCTGGTATTTTACCTGGTGATATCCATGGGAAATTCTCTCTAGGGCAGCGAAATGTAGGCAAATCAGCAAAAATGTAGGCCTATTTAGAAACGCTCATATTCTTCTTAAATTAATTTTTAAGCGTTTTCCTTTACACATAGTAAAGACTAAGAGTTCAATATTCATACCCTTTTGTCTAGACAACTGTAAATTTCAAAGTAACAGTGAAATGTACATTTCAATTTAGACAAAATCCTATCTAACCAATGCTATATAATTCAGTAATGACTACATGAGGTCACTTCTTCTGCAAGCCTTCAAACCGTGAGTACACGCTTTTTTTGCTCCGTAATTTATACTATTTGGCACCCTTAAAACCCTACGCACAGGCAATCTTTTTTTTGGGAAAGAGGTGTAAGGTGCTCGGGTGACTTTCTTGGACATTCTTTCCCCATTGCAGAGTGAATATCCTCCATGATAAGGGTAACCCTGAAAAAAAAAAATACTTCTAAATTGTTAGCGTCACGGTAAATTTATGACACCAGTGAACTTAACTGAACTCTTGATGATGCCCATCCATTTTAAAGACACCTGACCAAATAAAACACAAATTCTCACAAACTTCTCATAACAGCACCTAACATAAAAGACAAAATAAAGAACTCTGAAAATACTTTTTCAACAGCTTTCTAACAACGACTAACATAAAGAATTTAAAAAAGATCTTTTCAAAGATACCATTTAGACCGAATTAGACTAAAATAAGACGCACATATCTAATTTGGAAAACGAGGTAGGCTCATCAACAACTGCCGTAGGCTCATCAACCACTGCAGTAGACTCATATACAACGGCCGTAGGCTCATCAACAAAACGAAGGCTCATCAACAAGGACCGCAGGGTCAACAACGAGGATCATAACCCTAATATTTGTCCCCCACGGTCGAAGGTGCCCACACCTAACCCTGGTACACTTAAACTTACCTAACTTCTTTGGATTTTAAGATATGGCTCTCCGCTTTTGTACTCAGAAATATCGGGAGTTGCTTTCAATGTGGTGCAAGTTTGGTTGTATTTGGTTACATTAGAAACGAGAACTGACTGTTCGATTTTAGCGATGTGGGCACTTTCAACCAAGTCATGGTTTCCAACGAAACATAGCTAAAAAACCCCAATATTTTGCGATCACGTGATTGAAATGATAACTAACTTATCCTCAGATAATCCTGAGATAACCCTGCTATTAAGGAAACTCGAAAACTTTAGGCCAAAAAAATGCCGTCCAGGTATATGTATAACATTGCACTCAATATCCTTGCGAAAAAATTTTCAACCTAGAAGACACACTAAAATTAAGTCACAAATGTAACTCTGCTAACTTTAGAGTTAATCTCTTGAAAAAAATACACACTTATCCTGTGTAGTTGAAATGCTTCTTGTTCAAAAATCATGTGATTTGGCCGAAAGCTTTTTGCTATACAACGCGAAATATACCCTAGAAGGTGTGAAAAAGGTCATGTGGGCACCTTCCCCATCTACGTTTTTTGCATTTTACTCACTCCACTTTTAACGTGACAATGCGCTTTTTAGACCATGTATTGTTTAATAGCGTGCAAGTAATCACAGAAAGTTAGAAGTCATTAACCTTCTTTTGCCGCTGGGCTACAAGTGATTAAAGTTTGGGTAATGTGGGCACCTTCAACCAAAATGAATTAAATTTTATTTGTTGTTTTAATTTTTTTTCTCTACGAAAATGTAACTTTTTAAGACAAACTAAACCGCATTTTAAAGAAACGTCATTCAACAAAATAATAACGGCATTCCAAGCAATTTCTACCTTATTTAGAAAGTTATAGTGCTTTAAGGAAAAGGTTATTTCACTAGCAGCTAAGATTTTCAATTTTCAAAATAGGCACATTGCAACTGCTATAACTCTTAATGTATACTATAAAACATTAAGTTATCCTTTGAGGACCAGCAGCAACGGCAGCACAACACGTACAAAAAGTTTTGAATTTGTAGCTCAAAGATCAGTGAAGGTGCAGCCTTAAAAGGGGTTGGGTTACTATATACATAGGACAATTTTAAGTTAAATTTCAATAAATACAGACAGGTCGCATTGACAGGTTTAATTCTTTTGTGCAAAATATTGCATTATGGCTGGTAAATAATCACAGGAGGTTTTAAGGAATTAACCCTCGGCCGTTGCTCAGCAGCTAGCTTTTCAATTTTTCAACATGTGGGCAAATTCGACCAAAAGAGCAAAGGAATATAAAATTCTTAATTTTGCTGACTCAGCAACAAAATCGCTATCTTTTAAGAACATTAGTCAACAGAACGCACATTTCTACGTATTTCTTGCGAAACCTCGTCAAAATTGGCTGTAATGGAAATTTTTTACGAATTTTTTTCATTTACCCTTGGAGAGATATATTTCAGTGCCCACTACATGAGGACCCCTTTCTCGGAAGTTTTCCAGCGGTGAGTACACGATTTTTGTGCTCCATGATTTTTACTATTTGGCACCCTTAAAACACTAGGCACAAGCAATCTAACTATTGGGAAAGGAGTATAAGGTGCAGGGGTGGATCCAGGGTAGTTTACCTGATTTCCGGAACTCACTCAAATTTTTTCCGACCTAGTTAAATGTTGATAAAAGTACTTTTGGAAAACACTCTAATTTCCCTTTGGAAACTACTGATACTTTTGTGGAAATCACTAAACGTCTTCCAGAAATAAACCATCTTCCTGTTTTACAGTTATTTATTAAAGAAAATACGTTTAGAATGACTAATTTCGTTATAATTGCGGTCATGAGGCGTTCGGGAGCGCTCCGGATCACGCGCTGGCCTTTCGAGCTTCGATTACACCTCGGAAACCGTCGGAAGCCGTCGGAAAATGTTCGTGGAGCCAATCTTTACGCAACCGGTGGGTGTAAGTCCTTGTTATTTGGTGACAATAACAGGCGGAACACAGTCAAAACCCCTCACGATTGGCTAGCAAAGATTTCGTCATCGGAACTCACTCAAAACACTCTTCTGATTGGCTAGTTGTGTTTGGAAACTACCTTGGAAACTACTGACAAAGTATAAAAGGGGCAGTTCCTCCCCCAGCGGGTCTCTTTCGTTGCTCCTACAATACAAGTACTTTTGAACTTGTTCAGGGGTTAACGACGGAATAACAATTTACTGTTAAACGTTTAAAAAATACTAGTGTTATGACTCGCGGAGATCCTGTTTGTCAGAGGGAGGATTGTTCTCCCTTCGACATTGGCCTAGTTTTCGACGAGATCCACAACTACTCGCCGCATCAGAAGCTGGAGTTCGTCGAAAACGTGTGGAAACCAGGTGAGCTTTTTGATTTCCCCGTGTCAATGGAAAATGGAAAATCTCGTAAGTTTGTCTCGGGCTGGCTGAAAAGATTTCCATGGCTAGCTTACTCCAAATATTTCGATGGAGCATTTTGTTTAGCTTGTGTTTGTTTTGGAGTTCAGTGTGGGCGAAACGCTAATAAGTTAGACAAATTATTGAAGTCTCCTCTCACAAATTGGACTTCGGCCGCTTCTCGCTTAACCAAACACTCGCTAGGAAATTGTGAAATTCACAATTTTTCTATGACTGCTATGAATGATTTCAAGAGAATGATGCAAAGAGGAGCTGTCCCAATTGACCAGCAGTTAAATAACATAGTTCAACAGCAAATCGCGAGAAATCGGGAGATTCTAAAGTCCCTTTTCAAAACTATTATTTTCTGTGGGAAAAACAACATCCCACTCAGGGGGCGGAGAGATGATGATCCCACTAATGCTGCCCTAACCGGTAATTTCCAGGCATTGCTAGAATTCCGGGTAGACAGTGGTGACCAAACACTGCAGCAACACCTGGACACTGCACCCAGAAATGCCACATACATTTCAAAGACCATTCAGAATGAAATGATAGAAACTGTTGGTGCTCACATTTTGAATGATCTATCACAGGAAATAAGAAATAGTAAGTATTTTTCAGTTGTGACAGATGAAGCTGCTGACATTTCAAATAAGGAGAATGTTTCTGTAGTAATAAGATTTCTGGATACAACTAAAACCATCCGAGAAGAATTTATTGGGTATTACATTTGTGAGGAGGGATTAACAGGGGAGGCTATCAAGGACATTATAACTGCAGCTGTAGCAAAATTAGGATTGACAATGGAAGACTGTCGTGGGCAGTGTTATGATGGTGCAGGCAATATGGCTGGAAGACTAAATGGAGCCTCCTCATTGATCAGTGCAGAACACGAAAAGGCAACCTATGTCCACTGCATGAACCACAGGCTTAATTTGTGCATAGCAGACACTTGCCAATTGCCAATTGTCAGGAACATGATGGATATTGTGCGCAAGATTTCTAAATTTTTTAACAACTCTCCCAAGCGTCAACAACATTTAATAGCCAAGATCAGAGAACTATTGCCTCGGGCAAACCATACTGTTTTAATTGATGTGTGCCGCACACGATGGATTGAACGGATTGATGGAATGGACCGCATAGTTGAACTTCTCTACCCAGTCACAGCTACACTTGAAGACATCTCACTTAACAGAAACAGCCCTGGAGACTCAACCTGGAATCCAACAAGCAGACATGATGCTCAGTCCTTAATTAATGCAATCAACTTTTCCTTTATTGTTTCTCTTGTTATTGTCAGACATATTTTGGGATTAACTAGACCACTCACAGTGAAGCTGCAACAAAAAGCAATTCCCCATGTTCTAAACGAGTTGGGGATTGGGTCCGAATTGGGACCGCAAAGCATCTATGGATTGTTTGAAGGGACAGATTTTCCAAATCAATATGGCTGAAAGCGAGAGCAAAGCCAAACTAACTGTTAAACTAACTCAGGAAGATATTCCTGGGGCAAAACTTCCAAGGGATTCTGTTGAAAAATGTAGCGTTGTCCAGTTGAAGAGGTGGCTGCTTTGCAGAGGTGCAAAAACGACGGGAACAAAGAAAGCTTTAGTGTCGAGGTTCGTATCGAAGCTGGCAACTTTTAAACTAAGAACCTTTACACGCAATAAGTTATTTTTATTTATAACAACTTTATTTGTAATTATATGCCTTTTCAGAATTATTATTAAAATTTCCTAAGAGTAAAAATTTAATATAATCGAAATTTTCGAATTTAATAAAGTCCTCTCGTACTTATGAGTGCTCTAATTTTGACTTATAGAGTACACGACTACATCAAGCATGGATTTGATGTTAAATACTTGCGTGATCCGGATGGCGGCGTCAATTTGTTACGGAAAAAAGCTCAACTTGGCGTACTTGAGAATCAAGAGCCTGAAGTAAAGGATTCATTCCCAAAAGAAGGATTCCAACCAGATATAAAGGCACTACCAAAAATATCATTTGGAACTGTGTGGAGATTTATGATCGAAGGTGTAGAATGTAAAAAGCAGCTCTCCACTGCTAAGCCACTTGTTAAAGGATTCAACTTTTTTAAATCTGGTCATGTCCTGTACATAGGCCACCTACAACAAAATGGCAAGCACTACATCAAAAGCCAAGTCCTCCCATCTATGAAAAAGGACAAAGTTTATACATGCTACTTAGTTATTAGTTTACTTGGAAAGATGCTAACAGCCCACTGCAAATGCCCTGCTGGCATAGATGGGAGATGTAACCATGTTGCATCAACACTTTTTGCTTTAGAAAACTATTGTAAAGTAAGGGAAAAACTGGATGAGTCTGATGAGTCATGCACCTCCAAACCATGCAAGTGGAATGTGCCACGAAAGAGAAAAGGTGCAATACAGCCCATAAATGAGATGACTTTTGTGAAGCACGACTACACGAAAGAGAAGAAGATACGTAAGCTTCATCACTCTCCAGTAAATGCAAACCAAAATGCTTGTCGCGATGAAAACAAGTCAAGGTTTTTTGAAATGATGAAGGAGTACCAGAGGGTATCAGGAAACACTGTAGCTTGGACACATATACTGCCTCAGGAAGTAAAGAAACTTCAGGATGTAAAGGATTCTCTGCTTTCACCAGTCAAATGTCATCCCGTGTCAGCAAAAGAGCTAAAAGAAAAGTTTGAAAAAGCAAAGAGAAATCTTATGGTTGATGATTTACAAAGGCAAGATATTGAGGAACAAACTAGAGGTCAATCAAGTTAGTTAGAGTTAGATAGTTTATTATCAAGAACCTTGCAGCCACAGGCTGAATTACGTTTGATTTACAATAAAATATATACTACAAAAAATACATGGCTAAGAAGAACTAATTAAAAAGACAAAAATATATAATTAAGAGAAAAACAATATTACATCATTGCTTTATGGACATAGTGATGGATAAAACTATTTCGAGTACGAATGGTGTGGAGGCGCCGTGTAGTAAAAGAGTGCTGACTCCTTAAATTGACTTCGCACTCATTCTTGGGAGGTAGTAAGCTATAGAGCTTGTGCGAGGGATTAGACAGGATGGAATTAAAAAGCTTATCACATAAGAACTCGCGGCGGTTGTGTAAGGGAACTAGACCAGTCAAAAGAAGCGCCTCATTGTACGAACAATCTGGATAGATAATACGTAAAGCTCGCCTTTGACATCTCTCAAGATCTACTGAAAGGTATTGCGGGAGGCTATGATGATAAACAGGGCATGCATATTCAGTTTAATTTTGAATTATGGCATCGCCACAGACAACCAAGGATTACTGCCACAAAATGTTACCGTGTAGCTGTACAGAGAGAAAGTACGTCCCCTACTAAGATAATTAAAGATATACTTGGTTACAACAAGGCCTATCAAAGTAAGTCAATGGAGGAAGGACTGAAAATGGAAGACCAGATTATCAATGATTACAAGCTTCTCAAGCAAAGTCAAGGAGATGAAGGCATAACAGTCTCAAAATGTGGGTTTTTTGTTTCAAAAGAACATGGTTACCTTGGTGCTAGCCCCGATGGCCTTGTACATGATCCATCAGCCTCTGATTCAGAGGGACTTATAGAAGTTAAGTATGTCCAGACATCAAAGGATGAAACACTAGAAAAGGCATTGTTACGCAAGAGCATTTGCAAAAAGAACAGTAATGCATTTAGATTAAATGACAAACACAAATACTTCTACCAAGTCCATCAGCAAATGTTTGTTACTGGAAGAAAGTGGACAGATTTTGTTGTAAAGGGTTCAGGCTGTGATTCACTGTTTTGTGAAAGAGTACATTTTTCAATAGACCGCTGGAAGTCTATTTTGCCCAAGCTAGAATCCTTTTTTAATGACTGGATTGTTCCAGAACTTGTGTATCCTAGAGTCAAGTATGGAATTCCTAAATTGAATGCTCGTTCAGTTTAAAACAGTCAAAATCAATGTGTTCATTTCAGTAAAAGTGTGTAATTTAAGAAAACTATACAATGAAATAGGCAAATCAAAATTTAATGGGAATTAGTGGTTTGCCCAAATTATGTTGCACACTTTTTAGTACTATCAGAGTGTAAACAATATATTTGTGAAGGTAGAATGGTTTTCAAAAGCCTGTGAAACACGTACTAAGTTTTGTACATGTTTAGTGCTTTTCTGCTTAAATGCTTTTGTTTCTATTGTTTAATACTGGCACTATTAGAAAGTAAATAGTATTAATTGTTTCACAGGTTTTTTAAAAACCACCCTATAGGTATTTGCTATAGCTAAGATTAGATAAACTTTGTCTTGAAAGAAACAGCGATCTGTTTTGTCTATACACATTAACTCAGTATTTTTATACATTGTACACAGTTATGTTCATATTTGACTGAGTAAAATATTTACTAACTACATGTGTAGTGTGCTTGGATTATTGTAATGACTTATAACCAGTCTGGTTACAGTCCAGTGGTATGATGGCAATATCATAATACATTATCAAACACTAGTTTATCAATGCTATTTTAATGCAAGGCAATAAAACATAAATCCATACCATTGTTAAGTATTAAAATGTTGCTTTATATTCACATAAATTTTAATTAATCAAAGGAGGGTAAAAATTAGAAAGTCCAGCCACTACAAATAACATATCAGATGCTATGGGGGCAAGAGTAATTGGAATTCGGTGGTCAAAGATGTGCCAATTCTTTATTCTCTCCATCAATCGCTCAACATGTACTCTCAAACTGGCAACAATCTTGTTGTGGTTGGTTTCTTCTTTTGAGAATTGTGTATCTTTAACCAAAAATGCTGGTCTAATCAGTTCTGCTCCCACAGAAGCAAGCTCATCAGTGCAGTTGAACCCTTTGTCTGCCATAACTTGATCATAAGGTTGTAACTTGTCCAACAGTCCACTTTGAGCTGTTATTTCCTTGTCAGAAGTTGAACCAGGAAATAGCTCACTGACAAAACATAAAGCACCACTGGGTGTTATACCAAGCAAGGCTTTCATCGTCGTTCTAGACTTGTATGACGAGTAGCAAGCAGATTGAGAATTAAGTGCTGAAGGTTTCTCCATCTCAAACTCTGTACAGTCCACAATAATGACACAGTCTGGATAGAAGGATTTGAAAATGTCAGGCATGTAGAGTTTGAGAACTTCCCTGGGTGGAATAGTAATAAGTGGCTCAAACTGTCCCCTCAGAAATCTCGTCCAGGCCCTTGAAACTTTGGATACAAGGGGTCTTGAGACACTAAACCGATGAGCAAGGTCCTTTTCCAGCAATCCAAGCCTTAATCTCACTAGTGTCAAAGTAAACTCTTGGAACTTGGTTAAACATCGAGGTCTGCCACACTGAATTCCTGGGTGCGTTCGTTCATGTTCATATTCAATATGCTCTGCTGCATCTTTAACCATGTCGAAACATATCAGCAGTGCATTATAGTCTGGTAAACCAGTATAAAAGGCAATGTCTTCAGCATTGTCTTTATATTTCTCAATATCGAAACGAAAGTTTTCAAGAGAGTGTCTTAGTCTTTTTGTTTCTTGCTCGAGTTTTAAGTTTGCCTCGAGTAGGTTTGCATTTTCTTCACTCAACTTGGCATTTTTCTCCAGCAGCTGATTCTTTTCATTTGTCAATTCACTGATGTCCTTTTTAAGCTTTTGCAACTCCTTTAACATTGTTTCGATTTCCAATCCTGTGAGAGATGTTTGTGTCTCACGATTGTTCTCATGTTCGACTGTCACTGATGCTTGTGCCATGTCTTTCTTTTCCTCCCTCTTCTTCTTTTTTGCTTCCTGAATTGCCAGATTTTCTTCGAAGCTGATGACTCTTTTTAGCTGTCGTCTAGTGCTTTCTGCCTTTTTCCAAGGAAATATAGTCGGCAGATGAGCTCGACTGAGTTTCTCGCCACCTTCGAAATGGTCTGAGCAAATTCGAGTATTTGTGGAGTCCAATTTTAGCGAATCATTCTTCAAAATGACTTTGTATTGCTTTCTGGTAAACTCATCTTTCGGTAATCTGTAGAAATGCAGATGTGAAGCGTTCCTAAAGCTGTTTGTACAGCCAGGAACGCAACAATTATAGTGAGGCATTTCAGAATTACTTTGTAAATATGACTCGTCTGTCCCTTCAATCAATCCATAGATGCTTTGCGGTCCCAACTCGAACCCAATCCCTGACTCGTTTAGAACATGGGGAATGGATCTTCTAAAAGCTAAAGATGAACTTGCTCTTTTGAAATCAGTCCTTGAAGACATGAGCACTGACATTGATAACAGACATCATAATCTCTACCAGGAAGCAGTGACCATTGCAAGACAAGTAGCAGTCCAGCCAGAAATGCCAAGGATAGCCCAGAGACAAATGCATAGAAATAATGCTCCTGCTGCAACTCCTGAGGGGTATTTCAAGATCAATCTCACTAGAGTTTTTCTTGACCATGTACTCCAGCAGCTCAACACCAGATTCCAGGATGATGTATTTGTTTGCTATAAAGGTATTTCGATTATTCCCTCTGTTTTACTAGCTACTGACCCTGCCTGGAAGGCCAATGTTTTGGAATTTTGTAACCATTACAGACAGGACATACCAAATTATGCAGGATTACAGGCAGAGCTTTTGTTATGGGAGAGATTGTGGAAGGGGAGGGATAACAGAGGAGATATTATTCCTGACAGCTTGGAGGCTACACTGAAGGATATTGACAAAGATGCATATGTCAACATCTATTCCATGCTGAAAGTCCTGATCACAATTCCAATTTCATCTGCATCTTGTGAGAGATCCATATCATCCCTTCGGAATCTTAAGAACTATTTGAGAAATACAATGACCCAGGACAGACTGAATGGATTGGCACTGATGCATGCCCACAGAGACATGGATTTTGACCTTCAACGTATAATAGATTTATTTGCTGAGTTACATCCTAGGAGAATGAGAATGGCAAACATTTTGTAATATTTTTTTGCACCAGCTGTTTCTAGAGTACTTGTGAGTTATGTTCTGTCTGGGTTATGGCCTTTAAGTCTCATAATCCTTAAACTGATGGAGAACAGTACAGAAGCTCAAACTGGTGCCTGTATAACTTTTTTCAACTCATTTCAAGGTTATTTTCTATTTTGTTTTACTTGTGATGATTTTCCATTGACATTGACATTGGGTTTTCATGTTAAGCTTAAATGGTTAACAAACATTTTCACTGAACTCAACCAGCTTCACAGCAATTCCCAAGGATGAAGAAAGGCTAGTATTATTTCAAATTATCATTTTACTTCAATTTGTATATCATTTTATGATTCTTATAATTTATATTTTTCTAATAATTGTTTTATTTTTTGAATTCCAGCTCCCAACACAGGCTAACCATCCATAGAGCCCTTCTCTCTCTCTCAAATTCTTTTCTGTGTTGTGCTCCTATAAATGAAATGAATAAAAGCCAGCTCAGGAAATGTTGTTTTTAGTGTTGCTAAACATTTGGATTTATTGAGCCTGGCTTTCATTCATTATAGGAGCACAACACAGAAGAAATTTGAGAGAGAGAAGGGCTTTATGGATGGTAAGCCTGTGGTCCCAAGGATGAAAAAGGCAAGTAGATTTTTATTATCAATCTTTAAACTATATCATCAATTGTGCTTGTTTTTCTTTTGTTATCAAAAACACTAACACTTGGTTCGTTTTTTTTTCTCCACATCTTGATTTTCCTGACTGGGAGGTGATGTTTTCCAGTGTGAAAAGTCTTGGTGATGACTTGGCCTACCTGAAAACACTATATACACTGGTTTGCACAGTAGCTAAAGGTGGAATATTTGTAGATCAGAGTGTTTCCTGTAGTACTTTCAAGAAAAATAAATGTTTTTTGCCTTTTTGATTACTTGCTTTTTTAGTCTTTTGGGGGCAATTAAATTTTCTAAAAATGCATGAAATGGCCTTTAGAGAGCTCCAAATTTCAAATTTTCTCGGGGGGGCATGCCCCCGAACCCCCCTAGCAGGAGTGGGTCCTCGGGTGGAAACTACTCACTCAAAATCCTGGATCCACCCCTGAGGTGCATGAGAAACTTCCTAGTACATCTTTTCCTGATTACATGCGGTTGCTTCTGCGCAGGCTTTGGTCAAAGCTTAAGGGTGCAATTTGACCATGCATTATGATGTGGGACCTTGTTATTACAACTTCAGGACCCTGTAGTGATGTTGTCATGTTATATTGTGCTTACTACAGTTGTAAGAAACCTTTTAGTGTTGGTTGTGTTAAAATCGCTTCGTTTGTTTATGAGTTATGACGTCATTTGTGTCAAATTTTCAACTGCTAATATCTTTGCAACATTTTAATTTTATATCAAAAAAATTACACCTTTAGTTCACCTCAATATAAGGCAAAGGCATTGCAAATTTGAAAAAAAAAACGGTTAAATCCTTGCAAAGTTGCCATTTCCACAGACACCATCAAACGATCATTTCTCAAATGCTGCATCACGAACGCACTTGATGGCACTGAAGACGACATTCTCTGGGAAGATATGGATGAAAGTGATCCGCTTGCCGACAATGATGGAGTGGAGTCAATTGTAGACGAAGAAGGTGAACTTTTCTATGCTGGTGAAGAGGAAGTTTCCGTCCTGGATGTGAACGAACAAGAATACCGTGACATTTTTGGTGAAAGTGACATTGATGAAGGTGATTTCAATGGATTTTAATTTTGATCGGACAACAATGAAACTTTGTTGTGTAGCTTTTATCGATTGAAAAGTTCATCACGGAATGTATATTAGTTTCATGTAAATATTTTAATAGTTGTTAACAGATTACAACTTGTTTATGATTTTGGCGAACGTGTATACAAGGGTTATGCTTCACTTTACTCGTGTTTGTACATATAAGGACAGAAACTTGTTCGAAAAAAGTATCTTTAATTAACATTATTTTGTATATAAAATGTTAGCGAATAGACGTTTCAGTTTCTAGTTTGAACATTTTCACGTTCGTGTAGGAATTATTGCACAAATAAACTTGACTTTCAGCTGTTGTTGATTTCAAACTTTGCTTTATTTATCCCGGACACCACTCGGCGCTTTGTGTAGAGTCCCAAGGGAACGTAGAAACGCAAGAGAATCAGCGGGTCCCAGTTAATATAGAATCAGTGGGAATGACAACAACCGGGAATAGTATGCATGTTTCGACGGGAAATTCTGTCGCGTTACAAACCGCCCAAGCCCATAAGGTCATAATAGTCTACCTAGTAATTACGAGCTGAGTTTATCACGCATGAAAGGTCAGATTAGGAAGCTCAGAAAGGAACCGGAAATTTTGGAGGAATATAATGAAGTTATCAAGGAACAGTTAACATCGGGGGTTATAGAGAGTGTTACGGAGTTAGAAAGGGCAGATAAAGTTCATTACATTCCCCACCTTGCAGTCGTACGCAAAGAAGCGAGTACAACTAAGGTTCGTGTCGTGTACGACGCTTCAGCGAAGCTGGGAAAGGGAGGGACTTCCCTCAACGATTGTCTGCATGTGGGACCATCGTTAAACCCCTTACTCTTCGACATCTTAGTAAGGTTTAGGGAGAAAAAGGTAGCGTTGGTAGGAGATATTGAGAAGGCATTTCTCAATATCGAGGTAGCTGAGAGAGATAGGGATTGTCTTAGGTTTTTGTGGTGCGAGGACATACATAAGCCGGAAAGCAAGATTGTAGTTTATCGCTTTTGCCGCGTAGTTTTCGGATTGAACACCTCGCCATTTTTGTTGAACGCCACGCTGAGATGCCATATCTCGAAGTACAAAGATGAAGACCCCGAATTCGCAAGGAAGATGCTCGAGGGGTTTTATGTGGACGATCTGGTGACGGGCGAGAAGAACTCGAGCGCCGCGTTCCATTTGTACGAGATGTCAAAACAGCGAATGGCAGCTGGAGGCTTTAGACTGCGAAAGTGGATAACCAATGGCAAGGCGTTGAGAGATCGCATCGAACGGAACGAGAGTAACGCAACTAGTGCGCGAAATGAAGAAGAGGAGACGTTCGCCAAGGTCACGCTTGGCACGGGAGCCGAAGTAAGTAAGAGATGTCAAAAAGTTTTAGGGCTTTCGTGGGATTGCGGAAAGGATTGTATCGAGTGTAGTTTCAAGAAGCTTGCTGACAGGGCGCGAGAAATGAAATTGACTAAGCGCAATTTACTGAGTTTGCTGGCTGGGTTATTCGACCCCTTAGGAATTATTAGCCCCATGATTGTTCGTATGAAAATTCTTTTCCAAAATCTTTGTTGTGAGAACCGGGGCTGGGACGAGGAGCTTGAGGGAAATTCAAGTAGAAATTTTCATGAGTGGATTGCGGACCTGTCCAAAATTGAGGGAATTTCGATTAGTAGATGCATCTATGAAAGGCCAAAACAAGAGGTTCTTGAGTGTGAGCTGCACGGGTTTGGAGACGCGAGCAGTAAGGCTTATTGCGCTGTAGTTTATCTCGTCTACATAACAAATGAAGGAACTTCTGCGAAACTGTTAACTTCAAAATCCCGAGTAGCGCCACTGAAGAAGTTGACCATTCCCCACCTAGAGCTCATGCCGGCAAGGATCTTGGCACAACTTATGGACACAGTAAAGCTGGCCCTAGAATCTCAGCTCAAGGTTAATTGTGTCAGATACTGGTTGGATAGCAGCACAGCGCTTTGTTGGATCCAAAACAGGGAGGAGTGGAAGCAGTTTGTCAGACATAGAGTGAACGAAATCTTGAAGTTGACGAACAAAGAGCACTGGGGACATTGTCCTGGCGAAGAAAACCCAGCGGATATCAGTTCGCGCGGAGCCCTTGGATCAAAACTCAGAGACCACAAACTGTGGTGGTGTGGACCGCAGTGGTTAACACAGGGAGAAGAGAAGTGGCCAGCAACTGTAGAAGACATCCGCACTCCCGAAAGCGAAGAAGAATTGAAAAAGACGACCAATGTTATGGTTGTGCAAGTTCAGAGACCGCCTACAGTTGCGAACCTTGTAGACATCAATCGTCATGGATCGTTAGGGAAACTGCTCAGAGTGACCGCATGGGTGTTGCGTTTCATCAAAAATGCACGTCCAGATCAAGACCAGACAGTCAAAAGAAAGGGAAGACTGAAAAGAGAAGAATTGGTTCAGGCCGAAGGCGAATGGTTGAAAGTGGCGCAAGCAGATTTGAGAAGACAAGGAAACTTTCAGCATCTGGTGAGTGAGTTAGGGTTAGTAGAAAACGATAGAATTCTTAGATGTGTTGGAAGATTGGTTAATTCCGATTTAGAAGTCGACGCGCGCAGAGCAATTATTCTCCCAAGAGACCACGCTTACACGACATTGGTGATACGGGACTGTCACGAAAGGGTCTTGCACAGTGGTGTGAGAGCTACGCTTGCAGACATGCGCTCTAGGTATTGGGTTCCGGAGGGTAGACAATGTGTGAAAAAAGTGTTGCGCAAATGCGTGACCTGCAAGAAACATGAAGGGAGGGCATTTAGCACACCCCAGACTGCAGCACTACCAGAATTCAGAGTGAAACAAGTGCCAGCGTTTTCGAAAGTAGGCGTAGATTTTGCGGGACCATTGTATGTCAAGGCAGCAACAGGGGGCGTGCGAAAAGTTTATATTGCTTTGTTTTCATACTGCGTAACCAGAGCAATCCATTTAGAATTAGTCGAAGATTTGTCAGCCGAGGCATTCAGGCGAGCGCTAAGAAGATTTGTAGCACAACGTGGAACGCCGACCTTGATTGTATCCGACAACGCGAAAACTTTTCAGGCGACCGAAAAAGCGCTCAATGATTTGTTTTATAATCCAGAGGTAGCAAGCGAACTAGACAGAAAGAAAGTCGAGTGGCGATTTAACTTAGAGAGAGCACCCTGATGGGGAGGGTTTTTTGAGAGAATAGTTGGGAGCATGAAAGCGTGCCTTAGAAAGGTGTTGGGTAACGCAAGACTAACGTTTGACGAGTTGCTAACCGTGTTAGTAGAGGTAGAGGGAACTCTAAATTCCCGTCCACTTACGTACGATTATAACGAGGTAGAGCATGAAGTTCTAACACCTTCACACTTAATCTTTGGTAGAAGAATCCAGTCTATGCCAGATGAGATAGCTGAAGAACCAGAAGAAAACGAGAGTAGTTGTTCAGAAAGGTTTCGTTATTTGACAGTGAAATTAACACATTTTTGGAAGAGATGGAGAAACGAGTATTTAGTCAATTTACGTGAGTTTCACAAAGCAAAGGCAGGAAGTGTAGTCAAAGAAGTTCAGACAGGTGATGTAGTGACAGTTTAAGAGGAGAACAAAAAGAGAGGAGAGTGGAAAATGGCAGTAGTAGAGAGTCTTATTAGAGGAAAAGACAATGTTGTAAGGGGAGCGAACGTAAGAGTCATTGCCAAGGGTAAACCTGTGCGCAATTCTAGACCGGTTCAAAAATTGTACCCCATCGAAGTAAAGTGTCACTCAAGGGAATGACCAAATTGAGCAGAGGGTTCAACATGAAAGAAATACACCTCTTAGACGCAACCCAAGCAGAGCTGCTGCTTTAGACTCTAAATGGAAAACAAACAATATGCTTGACTCGTAGGCGAGTCAAGGGGGGAGAGTGTCGAGAACGATTTCTTTATAATTAATGATTAATGTTATAAATTGTCACACAAACAGCACGTGGATAAATCAACACATATATCTGGGCACACCTTAGACTTAATGATTACTCGTTGCTCGGATTCATTTCTTACAGCCAAACCTATGACTGACTACTTGTTTTCAGACCATTTTACTGTTCTTTGCGATCTTGCCTTAAGTAAACCATCTCCCAAAACTGAGCAAATATCATATAGAAAACTGAAGGCAATCAAGATTGAGGATTTCAAACAAGATCTGTCTACCTCTGGGCTTTGTAATTACAGTCCAGATTCGCTTAACGATCTCGTTAAATGCTATAACGATACCTTGTCCCAAGTGCTCGAGAGACATGCTCCACTTCGATCCAAAGTTATACGATCTCGACCTCTGGTTCCTTGGTTCAATGAAGATATAAAAAATGCTCGCCGTGAAAAACGGAAAGCAGAAAGAAAATGGCGACGCTCTGGCAAACACGACGATATGTTGTCATACAAAAAGATCAAGAATACGACAAATCGATTAATTAACGAAGCTCGAAGCCAATACCATCACGACTTCATTAATGATGACAGTTCAAACCAAAAAAAGCTCTTTGCAGCTGCGAATACTCTTTTGAATCAAAGGAAAAAGAACACTGTGCTACCACCTTGCGATGATAAGCTTGAATTAGCTGATAGGACGGGCTCGTACTTTGTTCAAAAAATCACTGATATTGGTACAAGACTCGACGTTATGGCTCAAGATCTTTCCACTGACCCGCTTTTAAACTGTACATTGTCACCAACCCCCAAATTTAGTAAATTTACAGCACTTTCTGAACTCGAAGTACGGAAACTTATCGAAGGTAGCGCAAAGAAAAGCTGTTCTTTTGATCCGATGCCCACCTCACTGGTTTTTAGCTGCATTGACGTCCTGCTTTCCGTGACCACAAAAATGATAAATCTATCCCTCGTGGATGGTGTGTTTGCTGATGTCTGGAAATGTGCACTTGTTAAGCCGTTGCTCAAAAAAGCTGGTCTTGATCCACTTCTTAGTAACTACAGACCTGTTAGTAATTTGCCATACATATCGAGGCTCACCGAAAAGGCGGTGTATAATCAACTTCATTTACACATGATAGACAATTCTGTTTATCCAGAAATGCAATCATCTTACAGAAAAGGACATAGTACCGAAACAGCGCTTCTTCGAGTTGTTAACGATATCTTAATGAAGATGAATTCACAAGAGGTCACTCTTCTTGTCATGTTGGATCTTAGTGCCGCCTTCGACACTGTTAATCATGATATACTAATCAAACGTCTACACGAAGAATTAGGTATTGCTGATTCTGCCCTGAGCTGGTTTGAGTCATATCTCCATAACAGGATGCAAAAAGTCGACATCGAGGGATCGATATCTAGCCCATTCGATTTAGGCTGCGGAGTTCCTCAAGGGTTGTGTCTTGGACCGATTCTATTTATTGTATATGCATCTAAGCTCTTTAAGATCATTGAACACGAGCTTCCTTGTGCTCATTGTTATGCTGATGACACCCAGTTATATCTGAGTTTTAAACCTAATACTACATCTCAAGGCCAAGTCTTGCAAGCAATGGAGAACTGTATTGAAAAGATCAGGAAGTGGATGATTCATGATAGACTGTTAATTAATGATAGCAAGACTGAACTGATTTTAATAGGCTCCAAACAACAATTATCTAAACTACAGCCAATCAGTATCTCCGTTGGCAACTCGGTAATTAATAATAGCTCCGAGGTTAAAAATCTAGGCTGTTGGTTGGATGCTAACCTAAGCATGTCTAAGCATATTACAAATATTTGCAAATCTGCATTATTTTATCTTCATAACATTAGAAGCATCAAGAAATATTTACACGAAGACAGTCTCCATACTTTAGTTCATGCGTTTATAACGAATAGATTAGATTATTGTAACAGTCTTTTGTATGGTGCCTCAAAGGAACTGATAACTAAAGTACAACGTGTACAGAATGCAGCCGCAAGACTGCTTTTGAACGTTGGAAGGTACTCGCATATTACTCCTATTCAATATGAGTTACACTGGCTTCCAATCCAGGCTCGCATTAAATTTAAAATTCTTCTACTTTCTTTTAAAGCGGTTCATAATTTAGCTCCGTCATATATTAACAGCCTTATATCTATTAAATCAAAATCTTCTTATTGTCTTTGATCTAATGACGGTCTTTACTTAGAGCCCCCTAAGGGTAAGATGCTGAAGACATTTGGAGATCGGTCTTTTCAGGCAGCAGCACCATACTTATGGAACAGACTTCCTCATGAAATTAGAATGATTAAGTGTTTGGATAAATTTAAAAAAGCTATTAAAACGTTTCTGTTTAATGAAGCTTTTTGTAATCATTAACTCAGATATATTACATTAAAATAATTTATTCTTATATATTTTTAGCTACCATTACTATTGTAAGTTTTATTTAGATATATAAGGTTTTTAATTTTTATTCAGTGTAAAGCACTATTGATCTGTACATGTAAATAGGGCTATACAACTAATAAATTATTATTATCATTATTATTATTACAATGTAACGAAATACTAGACTGATCGTAACGCGAATAGGAAGATTTCGTGACATGATATTTCACAACGTTGTAAACAAAGTTCAACACTGATTTGCATGCGTACAGTGAACTAAATAAGGGAAAGAAACGTAATTGTGAAATTGCAACTAAAATAGGGTATATTACAATACTTTGGGATTGGGAATTTACTGAACTCGTGATTGTGGGAAAATTACTTTATTTCGCAACTAGAACTGTAAAACGAAGTAGCACTGAATTGTAAGGGCAGATTGGTTTTAGATCGTTAGAGTGTTAGTATGTTCAGATTGTCAGGCGTGATGGAAGAAAATAAACGCGTTTAGAAAACAAAGAAGTATACAGTCCTCTTGATTCCACGACAACTACACTCAGGATTGTGAATGAGTTGTGCCTGGCAATAACAGATTGTCTACAGAGGAGGGGCCATCCTGCTAGAGAGAGATTTGTACCTGACATCGATGGGCAGGATGTCAGTTCTTCCCTTCTTGAAGAGCTACGCCAAATGGAGCCTTGGCTAAATAAAGTGGCAAGTTTGCGCAAATTTCAAGAAGAGACGGAAGAGGATTGTATGGCTGATGTTATAAACGATCCGACCTACCATCCTGAGGATGAAGAAGGGGCACAAGGACGAGGACGATGAGGAGGAGGAGGAAGACGACGAGGACGACGTGGAGCCATCAACATCGGCCAGACGTCCCGTAAAGGTGCCGTCCTCCAAATCGGGCAAACAGCCAGCAAAAACAGCCAAGAGCCATCAACATCAGCCAGGCGTCCCCTGGAGGACCCTGCCTCACCTGCATCCAAAAGGACGAAGACGACAATGGAAAAAAGCGACACGGACTCTTCCACAAAAAAACGCAGGTCACACCACAAGAAATGCAAGTGTCCTTCCTGTAGTAAAGAAGTGTTTGACCTCAAACGTCATCTGTGCATGCATGTAAAAAATGAAGACATCGACGAAGTAGATGTTGACAAATCTTTCAGCATTGCTGTCAACACAACCAAACGTCGAGGTCCCCGAAGACCAGGGAACAGAAAAGGTCTACCACTGAAATGGTGCCCGGTGGAAGATTGTTCCTATGTGACAGCACATTTACGAAAACATCTGATGAACAACCACCGCGTAAAAGCTGGCGCATATTTTGACAACCTACTGAAAGAGGCTCGACTCTATAAGGGGAAGGAGGAAGTTGACAATTTGCCTCTAGTAAAGCAAGAGCCAGAAACAAGGTCTCCGCAACAACAACAACCAGTGGACAAAGAGCCAGAAGTGTCAGTGGAAGAAGTAAAGGAAGATCAAGAGGAACCCTCTTCATACTTGGAAGACGAAGATTATGAAGAAGATCAACTTCAAGAGCAGTACTTCACCTCGGCAAATCCCAAGACCACTCGACACAAGTGGCTAGTGTTGTTTTATCGATGGTTGAATACGGCTGATGCTGGCCGAAAGAAAGATTGTAATCGGCTTCAACATGCCTCACACATCCGTCTGATGCTTGAAGACCTACAGCCTGGTGGGGACGGGATAGATGTCCTATCTGCAGACGAGGGCCAAATAGTGTGGACAGACTGGGTAGATGTGAAGTTGTTGTCGTTGAAGTCTGGGACCATCAATGGATACTTAGGAACTTACGAGAAGTTTCTTCAGTTCGTTGTAGAAGATCGAGTGCGTGT